TGGATAGTCATTGTTTGAGAGACTCTGTACAAATTGCCCGCTTCCTTATATTTTCTTTACGGCACATTTCCAGCACTTTATGCTGGACAAGAAAATAGTCCTTCGGTCAGTTCTGGGTTAAAAATGCAAAGCTGTATGTTTATAGATTTTAAGATATTCTCCCTCCAAAATCCAGCGTTTCGCTGGAGGTAATTACCAACTTTTGTACATAGTCAGGAACTTGAGTGAGGTCACTATTATTGGACATCGTAAATATTTGGATAGTCATTGTTTGAGAGACTCTGTACAAATTGCCTGCTTCCTTATATTTTCTTTACGGCACATTTCCAGCACTTTACGCTGGACAAGAAAATAGTCCTTCGGTCAGTTCTGGGTTAAAAACGCAAAGCTGTATGTTTGCGTATAGATTTTAAGATATTCTCCCTCCAAAATCCATCTATTCCTGAGAACATTGGTGAAAATAATTCACATAAGTTTCACATAAACTCCACTTTGCAGCTTATTATTAGCCTACTGATTATTTATCAAACAGAGCACAAAAAACTAAATGAAATATGCAGTTTTGCACTTGAATATGCATTTAATTTGCTACTAAGTGTCATAAATAAAACTTTAATGGTTGCCAAATGTTGCCAAATCCAGTTACTAGCTCTAAAAAACACAAACATCTTAAAGTTTTGGATACTTTAAATGTTCTTTTCTTCCAGTATAGGGTGCATATTGTGTTAACCTTAGATTGGAAACTGGAACTGCTGTTTTTCTGTTCAGTATGCATTAGTGGTGTAACAGTATATGTATTTGTACCAAAACTTTTTGGGTATGCTCTTTCAATTCGGTATGCAGGTGTACTGAACTAATACAGCGTTATTTTAGTTAATGCACGTGCAGAACTTAATTTGAAACTCATAGTTTTGTGTATCTTTATTTTAATGAATCAATATGGATTCTTAAATCCCAAGATTGATCTTTAAGTCTATGCTATTTCAGTTGATGCATGAATAAAACTTTGCGTGAACGCATGAATAAAAGCTTTGTGTACTTTCGATAAGAAACAAAGTGTTCATTTTATTAGACAATTCACAAAAACAAGCATCATGTCAATGATTATATTTCAAGAAAAATTGGAGTAGAAACTTAATTTTACAATTTAGAAGTTAATGTAAAATCTGCTTTATGTGCAATTAACGTGTTTACATTTTAGGGGATTATTGTATCTAAATATAAATAGCAATTGAATTTAATCATTTGGACTCTGTTGTTAATTGCAACCTTTAATATTATAGTAATGTGCAAGTAATAGAGCTCCCTATATAGCTTGCAACATTAGCTGAGATAATGTAATCATGATGTAATTGAGATAATGTGAGAAAATGTAATTAAAATTGAATTCAGTAAGCTAGTTTAATTAAAAAAAATTAAATTCCATGTACAGGTACGTACTGAACCATCATTTTATTGGGCTGTTACACCCCTAGTATGCATCAGACGAACTGAGGCTGTGACTGAGGTAGCAATAGTACAAACTCTTGTGGTCTCTGTGTGTAAATTCGACCTTAGACCCATTGCTAGAGGCCAAACCTCTCCTCCTGTCACTAACTGTCATGTCACACCACTGTCACCTTCCTGATTTCATCTGGTTGATCTGGAGGTCAGACGCTGGTTGTCTCCACAGACGTGAGTTTCAGGCCCTCCAGCGAGGCATCGGTAGGCCTCTGTTTGCATTTCATCCAGCATTCTGGAGATATCACCCGTTTCCTCCTATAATCCGAGTTCCCTCTGGAAAACGTTCTCCCTCCAGCTCCTCACAAGCCAGCAGTCTCTCAAAGTGACCGACCTCCTGCGTCTGCCAGGAACAATAATCTAATGCACTGTCTGTCTAATCGCCAGCTTTGTAACCTCTGGCTTCCTGTAACTGCTGCACTGAGTGGCTTCTGGCCTTCTCCCAACTCACAAACGCACACACTCACATATCAGCAGAGCCCTAAAGCACCCGAATGAAGCGGTGGCTGATGTTGATCTTCTCCTCTGGGATACCCAGTGAATGACCTTTTCCCCCTGTGGTGGGCTGATGCAGGAGTTTTCACTGGAGCTGGCGTCTGGCAGGTGTTCAGAACCGGACAATGGAGCGTCTGGCATCCAGCCTGGTTTTCTGTGTCCGTCATTACTGCCGCCACCACAGGCAAAGTGACACTTTGTGTTGTGTGCGAGTGACTTTGTGACAGGGACCGCTCTCTGCTCTCCTCACCCGCCTGCACCGGCTCTCAGGGTCCGATGTGACGACCCTCGCCGCTCCAGTTTATCTCTCACTGCTAATAAGCTCATTCTCTGGCTGCAGACAGCAGCATTCACAGCTGAATGGAGACACCCCCAGCACAGCTGCATGTCTCATGAAACTTTCACTCCACCAATACTCAATATATTTATATTTTTCATGTTTTTGTAATAATATTCAGTAACAAAGATGTTTCTAGTTTATTTTTATTTTTTAAGGGACATCAGTAGCAGTCCTGGCTTACTTTGTAGTTTAAACATGACAAGACAGGACCAAAGGGAGAAAAAAATAGGGAATAAGGACAAAACAACATTTAACCTACAATAATCATAACATTTAATAGTTTAATAGTTGAAATGTCCGGATCATGCAAAGTTAAATAACCTGAAATTATATGTAATTATCATTAAATGAGTTTGTTTTCCCCACAATGAAATTGTATAGTAATGTCACAAAAAATTATAAATTAATAAATTTTTATAATAAACAAATAGAGCAATTTAACATGCATCTTTTCTTTTTATTTCAGGGTAAACATGGCTTTTTTAAATATGACTTTTTCTCTTTCTCCCGCTTTTCTGATCTTTTAAATATTGACAAGTCAAGACATTTTTTAATTTTATTTTTAATGACAATGAACATACAATGAAATTGGGGGTAAATAATTGCATTTTTTATCTATCCTTTCGTGGAAATGTTTAGATATTATGCTGTTATATTATAATATATTGTCACATATTGTCATGTAAATATTGTCTTGTTAATTTTCTGCATTTCATTACATACTATTCTACCGTCATGCTAATATATGAAATATCAAATTTCAGATATACAGACTGAAAATCAGTGAGACGTATAGGAAATCTGACCTAAATTGATGCAATAATTCTTAATTCAGTGCTGTGGGGGACAAGGTCTGATTGAATATTCTGGATCAGATATAATTAAGAGCTCTTCCACACCAACACTGCGATATAAAGGCAAAAACCCAGCCATTTCTGCAGAAAAAATCAGTGTATTGGGCGGCGAGTAGCGAAACCATCGATTGTGTTTGGAGAGGCAATTGACTAATTTTCACCATAATAAGGTAACAGACCTGCTGCCGCTTTTTCCGAGGTTTGCTAATAAAATTTTCATGACCTCCACTCATTCTTTAACCTCTACAACAATAAAAAAATACAGACAGATGAAAATAGGACTCCAGTCATCCTCTTCAGACCGGCGGATGCGTGTGGTGGAGGGTGACTGTCTGAAAAGACTGAATGCATTTCCATATAAAGACGGAGAAGCGCTTATTTAGATGTGCTTGACATTTTGGTGAGAGGGGAAGGTTAAGGGTGAGACCGCTGGAATATTAATATCCGTGGCTAACAAACCATTGCAGAATCTCGCCCGTGTCTAGACACTCACTTGGCTTTGGACATGATCCGCAGCCAAAGGTTTGAGTGCAATTAATGTGTGGAGTAAATTCAGTTGTCATTGGATAAACTCGATTAAGGGGCTTTTGTTAATCTTTGGACCCTTTTACATATGCATTCATGTTTATTTAATTATGTATGTATTTATTTGTTTGTTTGTTTTATTGAATATACAGTTTAATCATATAGGTATATAAATATAAATAACAATGTGTGGTGGATGGGAATATTTTCATAAATGTCAGTCTTATTCTCATGCAAAGCTATACAATCTTGGTTACGCATGTTCACAGTATGCTATACAGCAGCCTGGAGTGTTATTGTATTATTATTATTGAGATAGTATTCTATTTATTATTAATATTTTGAATGTATCATTTTCATTTTCATTTTACTTAAAGTTTTAGTAACACTATATTATTTTAGTAGCAGTATTTATATATTTTGTTTGTTTGTTTGTTTTAGTACATCAAGGTAAACTAAATGAAAATAAGAAATGTTGACTAGGTGTAATGAAAACAAGATGACAGACATGTTTTATTTGATCTCAGTTAACGTTTATTTTAAGTAACAAAAAAGTTTTTTTTTTTTTTAGTTAACTATTTTTGCAGCATTTTTATATAATAAAAATAGTGTTCTATTTTTTATTAATATTTTGAATAATTTTCATTTTGTTTTATTTTTAATTGTAAAGTTTTAGTAATTTTGTTTTGTTTTTAAAATGCACCTAGATTGATTTTTATTTTATTTTATTTTTCATAAATACAATTTAGCAAATAAATAAATAAACCTAAAGAGGGCTTTTGTTTCCTATTCGGCATGACTAAGCGTTTCAAAGATGTTAGCTGACATGCTTTTTGTGGTCAATCTGTCAATCTGTCAATATGTTTGATGAGAGTCCAGCCTCCATTATTTGACAGGACCTTATTGTTCTACATTTTTCCAAGAATTGTAAATGACATCTGCACATATCGGATGTGTCAAGAGGTTAAGAAATAGAAAGACAGAGAGATGGAAATTAGATAAGGTTAGCGAAAGAAACAAATGCACATCCACTCAACTCTTCCCTTATCCGATTAGCAGCAGACCTGAGCGCGGCCCGAGCCCAGACTGATTGATTGAATATGAATAATCGATTACAGCCATCGCTCTGATGCCACGGCCGTACTCTCACAGTTACCCTGATTTAAAACAGCAGCCATTACGCTCATCTGTGGCTCAATTCGATTAGAGTGAGCCAGAGAACAGCTGCTTTATGAGATGTGAGGTAGAACCATTGACTCACAGTGTGTTTCTTTGGTGCTCCACAGGAAGAAGAAGACGAGGAGAGAGCAGACAACGGGAGGAACGGCAGGATAGAGCCGGTGGGAAGGGCAGACTCCTGTGTGGAATCAGCTTCACTCGAGTGAGTCCTCACAGGAATACTTTCTGTCTTTCTCACAACCAACAACATCTAACAAATCATCTCAGGGAGTTCACTCGGAAAAAATTAAAAGCTACTGAACACAAAATGAGGTATTTAGGAAAATGTACAGGCTGCATTTTTCCATGCATTGGAAAACTGTGATCAGTGGCTGTCAAGCAACAAACAAGTATTTTAGAAGTAGTCCACACAACTAACAATATGATATATTTTTTAGAACAGATTGAAGTCTAACAAGTGTACTTGTTTTATATTTTTTGTATCATATTTTAGATTTTTTTTTCATTTTATAACAGCTTAAGTAACATTTATAGGTTAATTAAAAAGTGTGTCTCTCAACAGCAACAGCTCAACCAATGGCAAGAGTTTGGGGCGGAGCTATCATTTTTTGCTGACCAATGGCAGATATATACTATAATTTTGATAGTATTACTATCTACTAAGACTATTCTACTGTTTTTATTTTTATTTTAATGATCATTTCAGTTACCATTTTAGTAATATTGTTTTGTTTTCAGTTTTATTTATTATTGTACAATTCAATTTTTGGGTGATCTAGCCTTCAACTGTCTGGAAAAGATGACAGTTTAACAGACCGCAGCACCTCATCACTTCATGTGCTCATCTTTTTTACTGATGTTTGTTGTCCTCTCTTTATCCCATGCGTTCTTGCCATATGTTTCTCTCTCACAGGTGTAGTGTGCACTCCCTGACTGTTAAAAACCCAGAACCGGCCCACTGCAGGCCTCAATCTGATCCTAATCACTTAATTGAAGTGTCTGTTTGGGTCCTCCATCGACCCGTGTGTCTTAATGGCCCCTGGGGTTATAGATGGACTCGTGCTGGGCTGGATCTAAACTAGCCTTAGCTTTCAGCTCATAGCTGCTCATAGCTGCTCTGTCATGCTCTAAACTTTTTATGTATTGCCTTTTCTTTGTTTACTTGGTTCTTCTGTTTTGTTTCTCCTCTCATTGCCCTCATTTGTCAATGTCCGTAGTGAAATGTTGAAGCCGGTTGAGGTGTCCAATGGCGGTGGGCCGCTAGGAATCCACGTGGTGCCTTTCAGTGCCAGAGACAGAAGGTAAAGCTCTACAAAGCCACATTGTCTTCACTGAATTCATTTTATTCTTGTCAACTCATTCCATAGACTGTGTTTTTAAATATTTTTCTTCCTTGCAGTGTTGTTCTTAAATGGATAGTTTACCCAAAAATGAAAATTTGCTGTTTATTTATTCTACCTCAGGCCATCCAACGATATATTATTTTAGTAGCAGTATTTATGTGTTTGTTTTTTGTTTTAGTACATCAAGGTAAACTAAATGAAAATAAGAAATGTTGACTAGGTGAAATGAAAACAACATGACAGACATGTTTTATTTGATCTCAGTTAACGTTTTATTTAAGTAACAAAAATGTTTTTTTTAGTTAACTTTATATTTGCAGTATTTTTATAGAATGAAAATAGTGTTCTATTTTTTATTAATATTTTGAATATTTTTTATTTTTTAATTTTAATTGTAAAGTTTTAGTCATTTTGTTTTGTTTCTAAAATACATCTAGATTGATTTTTTTTTATTTTTTTTTTATTTTTCATAAATACAATTTTGACCATAGGTGACTTTTTTCTTCAGTAGAAAAGTACAGAATATTTTTAGCTGAAATCATGCTCATTGGTGATTCATAAAATGCAAGTCAATGGTGACCGGCACTTTTAGAGTCAAAAAAGCATATACAGGCACCACAGAATTAATCCCCGTGGCTCCTGACGATATATTGAGGTCTTATGAAGTGAAACGATCGGTCTGTGCAAGAAACTGAACACTATTTACAACATTATTACCTGTAATCCATTGACTTGCATTTTATGAATCACCAAGGACCACGGTTTCAGCTAAAAATCATCTTTACAGTTCTATTGAAGAAACAAGTAATCTACATCTAAGATGACCTGAGGGTGAATTTTCATTTTTGGATGAACTGCTCCTTTAAGACTGACCTGTTGTGTTTTCAAGTAGCTCTTGCCCGTAATCCTCACTTGTGTCCTCTGCATCCTTCAGATTTCTCTCATATCTTGAGAAGCTTCCCTCAAGGTGTCTATGCAGAATTTGACATTTATTCCCCAGCATGTACCATTCATTTAAACTGGTTTTTCGTCATTCCTCAAGGACGTATTGACAGTGTGGCTCTCTCTCGAGTGGGTTCTTCTTGAACACATGTGGGACTTCTATAACCACATTCTCCAGCTGAATAATGAAAGCAAAGCTACAGAAGCTCAGATTCTGAATAAGGCCATTGAAAGAACAGAATGGGACACTGCTAAACACTCTGCTCCCCTCCAGAAGGACAAAGGGGACGTGGGGCATGGCGGCGAATAAATTAGGCAGCTTTATTGCAACAAGAAAAGCCTCAATCCGGCCAAGTCAATTCGTCTAAACTGCTTCAACCAATCTGACTAAAAGCTCATCCATATTATTGGTCATTCACAACATCCAAGGTCAGCTGCGGTAAGAAATGCAAAATGATAAAAGGAAGGTGCAAATGAATGAAAAAGTGTTCTAATCAAGTCAGTCACGACTATAAAGAGATTTGCAGAGAGCTGTTTATAAGCAGTAAAAATGCACCGCTTTCAGACCTAATTTGATGCTGGTTTA